TTATTTTTGGTAAATATAGTGTAAACTCTTTGTGGGGGCTAACGCTTTTAAAAACAAAACAAAGAAGAAAAAGCATTGACATCGAACGGTTATTTTCTATAGAAAATAACTATAAATGCTTGAAAATAAAGATGTGTATCTATGGTTTATTGTTTTTATTTGTCAGGCAGAAGGCGGCTACCAGTTAAAATGTTCGAATCTTCTCGAAATTACTTGGACCTTGCAGAACAAGTCGTCACCCATTGCCCCATTTCATCACCGCATGAAGTTCGATTTGGAGTATATGGGTATGTCAAATTGTGTTTCAGTTTTGAAATTATTATCTGTTTTTAGTTATTTATGATTGTATTTTTTATATCTCCGTGATAAAAAGAACAAAGTTACTAAAGCTCATCCATAGTCGGGAGATCTGCTACCTAAGCTATCTTCACATAACATGTTAACCAATTGACATTTCACAGTCCATGGGGTAAAAAGGAAAATTGCTCATAGCTAAGTAACTCCTTCAATTTATTGAAGATATTAGGACTTAGCAGTGAACTATAGCCATAACATATACCTATTACAATAGGTCTTATTGGCCCCAAATTAGACCTGAATATCTCAAAATAAAATTGTATCGGTAACACCGATATATTTATGTGAGTATCGGTGCTGGTATTGTATCGGCAGAAGTGCGTATCTTTGCATCCCTTGTTGCATGATCAGATTAGTTAGGAACTGTTAGTTCGTTTGTCACTTCAATTTAAAGAAAAAGAGTGATAAAACAAACAGTTATTTTGATATGTTAATGTTTTTATTTCTTTTTTAAATGAATCGTATATTAAAGTAGTAACTCAAGCACACAAACAACTGTCTGATCCAATGCTTGACACAGATGAGAGGACGTTATTATTGGCTAAAATCATCAGCACATGCTTAGAAGCCCAGGGGCTGAATCACAATGTACAAGAGAGCACAGAATCCGAGTCCGAGACAGTGAGGATACAAAAAAGACGCACAAATTTAGACAAAGAACAGGAAATGCCGTTATCAAAGAAGAAGAAAGAGAATTGTGAAGTGATGGCACCACCGAAAGCGCTTCCCAAGAAGATAAAGCCTAAAGGCAAAGAAAATGTAGTGGAAAATAACAAGACTGGCAAAACCGTGAAAAGTGCGAACAAGATTGGCGATGGTGATAACATCGAAGGAAAGAAACCGAGCAATGATATTCCTGAGAAAATACTAGAACCTGAAAATATAGTTAGTCACAAGAGAACTGCGGATGGAACAAAACATGAGAATATCAATAATAATAACAAAGAAATCGAGCATAAAACGATAAAGTCAGATAATTTAACTAAAGACAGAGAGTTTAAAGTAACCAATAATGAAAATGTGAAAAGGCCTAATAAAATGGTGAAAGATAATAATAATATCAACGGTAAACGCAATCAAAAAGAAGAAGAATCAAAAAGAACTGGTAACACACATAATCAAGATAACGAGAACGCGGATAAACTTAAGAAAGGAAATAAACCGGAAAAAGGTAAGAGAATAATTTCTGATGAAAGTAACATTACTAAAAATGTCGATACTAACAGAGAGAGATCTGGCAACACCGTGAAATCAACAAAAGTAGCCGATACGTTAAATACGAAAACGGTGAAAGAAAATGTAAATACAAATATCAAAGATAAACAAGTTTCAAAACAAACTGAAATAAAACAAAAGATCGATAAACCTAAAAGTAAAAACCTAAAAGTAAAAAAGAAAACCAACCAATTAGTAGTGGTAAAGGAGCTACCACAAAACAACATAAATTATCTGGCAACACAGTATATTCAAAGATTTTGAAAAACCAAAACAAACGAAAAGTTTCCATTACAAAATCAATGAACAGCAGGTTCTTAAAAGCTCCCAAATTTGATAAACGTAATCCTAATTCGCAGACGTCGTCAAACATACCACAGAAGAAGTCGAGCGCCGAGAATATACTGAAGAAGAACCCTTTGAGGATCAGTCCTAGTGAGTATCTTCATCATTCTAAACACCACACTGTTTAAGGAATTTTTGGTGAAATCCCTCTAGCAGTGAATTGGTTTTCTCTCCACGGGAATCTTAAGAGGCGACTTATAAAAATGGACGGTCTGACTGCCAGTAGATTTGTGGGGGTTACAACCAAAGCCTATATGAAAATCATTACATCATTACAGCCTAGGCCTTTCCCAAAGAATGTCACAGCATGGTCCTGAGTTGCACTCATAGCATCGACTTCCTGTATGTCTCACCAAGTCGTCACTCCATCTAGTGGGGACCATTCGAGAACCTTTCTTCCCCATCGGTTGTCGGTTCTTCGAGCTATATAGCCGGCCCATTGCCGCTTCAGCTTACTAAACCATTGGGCTATGATGGTCACTGGTTTTATTGTAGATATCCTCATTTCTAAGTTTATAACCCCGAGCATAGCCATCTCCATAGCATGCAGTGAAGGACTACGTCTCAGATACATAAGTCATCACTGGCAATACTCGCTGGTTGTACAATCTTGTTTTCAAGTTTTGAGGTATACCTGACGAGAAGATGTGTCATAATCTCCTTAACCCTGCCCAGCCGAGTTGAATCCGTCGATTGACCTCTCGGTCGAATTTGGACTTACCTAGTCAAATTATTTGTCCCAGGTAAACATACTCGTCAACAACTTTGTGCTTAGTGCTTCCAACAACTACCGGCATAGTTGTGACATGGACGTCATATTTGATATTTGTTGGATCTTGGATGGAAGTTTGTACTTGTATAATATATAGGTTGCACAGTCAAGAAATTTTATAAATGCTTTTAGAAAAATTTACTTCGCAAATATCCGCGTTATAAAATAAAATGATGTGTCTTACCTAGTATGAAGAGCACCTCCCGCCCTCCCTCAATTGCGTGCACTATCCCCGTCACCACTAATCCCAGCACCGCTACTCCCAACACCACTACACTAGGCAAGACACACCACTGACAATAGTACGACACGTGTTTTGCCTCTACACGAGGCATCCTCGGGTGATATAGACTCTACGGTGGCTAACCGCTAAGTGAGCGGCGAGCCAAAACAAATGCCTTTTATACAGACCGATGACGCAACCGCTCTCTACTTAAGGAGCAAGCGACTGTGTCATGTGATAAAACATGCGTCCATTCACCGCCGGACTTACGCAACCGTTTGTACAATTAAAAACAAACCGCCGCGCAACGCCCACCCTCCAACCACGCAACCAATCGCCGAACACCGTGAGGGTGACAAACGACCATATTGCGAGGGTCTATTATTAGAGAGCAGGCTTAAAGATATTTAAGAGAGGTGAGTTAGTAACATTTGTTTGTTCATTCAGCAATGCAACTCTACTATTGTTACTTTTTAATATCTCTAACTGTTCCAGCACATACAGCCGCAGCCGTAAACCCCTCTTGGAGGGCGGGAGGTGCTCTTCATACTAGGTAAGACACATCATTTTATTTTATAATGCGGATATTTGCGAAGTAAATTTTTCTAAAAGCATTTATATAATGGATTTACGCAAAGTAACGCCTGATTCGCCTTTCTTTCGCGTCGTTGGTTTTCCAATAGAGATAATTTAAAAATCCACCTTAAAGTATTATACTCTGAACTTTCATATATGTTTGCAGTGCTGATTGAACCAAACATTTTGGGCAGCAATACGATGGAGTTTTGTTAATTTGACATAGAGTCTTGCCTGGTCGGCCGTGCTAGCCTTTTTAATATAATTAATAGAATCAGGCGTTACTTTGCGGAAATCCATTATATAAATGCTTTTAGAAAAATTTACTTCGCAAATATCCGCGTTATAAAATAAAATGATGTGTCTTACCTAGTATGAAGAGCACCTCCCGCCCTCCCTCAATTGCGTGCACTATCCCCGTCACCACTAATCCCAGCACCGCTACTCCCAACACCACTACACTAGGCAAGACACACCACTGACAATAGTACGACACGTGTTTCGCCTCTACACGAGGCATCCTCGGGTGATATAGACTCTACGGCGGCTAACCGCTAAGTGAGCGGCGAGCCAAAACAAATGCCTTTTATACAGACCGATGACGCAACCGCTCTCTACTTAAGGAGCAAGCGACTGTGTTATGTGATAAAACATGCGTCCATTCACCGCCGGACTTACGCAACCGTTTGTAAAATTAAAAACAAACCGCCGCGCAACGCCCACCCTCCAACCACGCAACCAATCGCCGAACACCGTGAGGGTGACAAACGACCATATTGCGAGGCTCTCTATTATTAGAGAGCAGGCTTAAAGATATTTAAGAGAGGTGAGTTAATAACATTTGTTTGTTCATTCAGCAATGCAACTCTACTATTGTTACTTTTTAATATCTCTAACTGTTCCAGCACATACAGCCGCAGCCGTAAACCCCTCTTGGAGGGCGGGAGGTGCTCTTCATACTAGGTAAGACACATCATTTTATTTTATAATGCGGATATTTGCGAAGTAAATTTTTCTAAAAGCATTTATATAATGGATTTACGCAAAGTAACGCCTGATTCGCCTTTCTTTCGCGACTTCGCCTGGGGTGGTATCTTAATATCATTTATGTCATCATTTAGATTTAAAATCACCGACCGTATTAACGATTTTACAAAAAAAATACTCCAAGCTTTTCGATTTAAATATAGGCTTGATCACTCCTGCCCGACATTCCTCTTTATCTGTTTGTGAAGTTTCATCACAATTAGTTCAGCCATTTGAAGGATTAGCCTGAACAGACAGACAAACATTTTAAAAAGGTTACTCATATTTCTATGACCCACATGTCACACAACGCCACACATGCAAAAGAGTAAAAGTTTACTTCCTATAATGTTTTTAATATTAATATATTCATAAACTTTAGGAACATAGTTAAGAATAGTTAATATTTATATTTAAATTACTAATGCAAAGAAATTCTATTAATGTCAATATAAAAACTATCTTCTATATACTGAACATCATTTTTCAATAATAAGGCCGCCTTGGGTTGTTCAAAGGGTTTGGTCTAAATCGGTACGCCAGCATCATGCGTTTCCTGTAGGCGTCGAACTCATCGTCCTCTGACGACACCATGTCCGACGACGACGCTCCCAGACCTAAGTTAGCGACAGGCTGGTTTGCTTTATTAAGTAATAGGTTCTACAATAACAGATCCTTCGGCACCGAGTCCTTGACCCTCGTTCCGTCCTAGCTTTTGCAGCATTTTTAAAACCAACATTGTCCACTTTCAATTTGAATTCTTTGTAATCGCTCAGATCTGGTTCCTTGCCACTCTCAATTGCTGAGTACTTTTCCATAAATTTTTTCAATTCTTCAGGCGCCAAAAAGTCACCAATATGATTATATTTGTGGGAACCCATGAAAGGCACATTAGCATTATTATTCATAGAGTTGGGGGGGGGGCATTATAGAATTAGGTGGCCTATTAGGACCCATCATTGCTGGATTAGGAAATGGAGGACCAAAGAATGGAGGCATTGGACCACTAGGGCCTGGTCCTGGGTGCATATTAGGACCACACATATTTGGTGGCCAAATACCAGGACCACATGGTCCTCTAGGGCCATTTGGGGCCAAAAAATTAGGTGTCATAGGAAAATTAGGTGGTCCTCCTAGAAATGGAGACATTTGGACCATTGGGCCCCATCATAGGATTAGGTCGTGAACCCATATTTTGTCCAGAACACATGGAACCTGGCCCCATTAAGCCTGAAGCCATAGAGCCAGATGTCATGGCGTCCATATTTGGTCCCATCGATGGTGCACCCATTGGGCTAGGTCCCATCGGTCCAGGAACCATAGAGCTAGGGCCTATCGGCCCAGGACCAATCGGTCCAGGACCGATCGGCCCAGGATCCATCGGCCCAGGACCCATCGGTCCCAAGATCCATAGGTCCAGGACCTAGTGGTCCAGGACCCATGGGTCCAGAGCCCATTTTTGATCAAGTCCCATTTGATTTGGTTCCATTGGACATGATACCATAGATCCAGGGCCTGGAGGACAAGGACCCACATGTTCTTGATTTGCCATTTCCCTATCTTCAGTGTTAGCTTCTGGCTCAGATTCAGAACCACCATGCATATTCCATTGAGAATGCGAGTTTGGTAATTGATTTTCTGGTGCCCGGACAGGAATTTGCATAAGGGATGGGATATTTGATTTTTCAGTCTCTTTTTTTCGATCTTCCACTACAGGGGTAGTAGGGCTGTGGTGTCGATTACTTCCTCTATCATTTCACCTGCGATGTCTATCTCTTGAAGATCTTTCCGTTGGTCTCTTTTCATCTGATTCATGCATTAATAATTCATGTTAATGGCATGCAAATAACCCCCTGTTTAAGCTAAATACACGGCAGTTATTGACAGATACTTCAATTTTATTTATATGTATAGATATTTAAATTTAGGCATGCTCTATGCTTGACTCGAATTCACAGTATGCGAGCGAGAATACCTGGGCTCAAATTGCAATTGTAAATACTGACTTACGTGTTACTTAAATTAAATAAACAAAAATGTTTTGTTCTGGAAAAAGCTTAACAAAATTCAACACAATGTCACATCAAAACAGCATCGGGAGCAGTCAGAGCAGTACATGGAAAGTTAACACGAATATACCAAGGTAGTTGATATTGTTGCATTTAACACGCCGTAGTAGAGTGCGTCAAGTCAAGCCATACTTCGGAGGGTGTCGCAGGTCTCCCTCTCGTTACTGTAGGCATTTATATGGTTACCAGCGTCTCCTCGCCAAAAGTTTGATGATCACCACGCTCTTAGGAATACAAGCGTAAAATAGCAGATTGATGCTGCTGTGTTTCGTATGGTGAGTGCAGAGAACCGGAGACACTTTACTGAAAACGAGTCATTCAATCTTAGTCCTCAGGGGTGATAACGCATCTGCATTTTGATTTGTAATCGAGGATAGATGTAGATGTCCATGGGACACAGCATCCACTTACCCATCACTGGACTGTGTGCTCGTTAGTTACCCTTATCTATACAAATAAATAAAATTGAAGTGTCTGTTTGTAATGTCGAAATAACAGCTTTTTACTATATGCATATGAAAGTATATACGGTACTTATAACAAAAACACGATTTTTAAAATTTTTGTATGTCTGTCTTTCTGTGTGTCTGTTTGGTCCGGCTAATCTCCGAAACGGCTGGACCGATTTTGATCGCACTCACCGGCAGATAGCTGATGTTATAAGAAGAAACTTAGGCTACTTTTATTTTAGAAAAAGAAATTCTGTCCCAAACGGTTCGCGCTCTACGCCATGTTTTAAAAAATTCCGAAAATTCGTACTTTTGCTCACATTTGTGGACATCACGTCCACAGTTTAACTCTGTTCTGTAATGATGTTTCTAAATTATCCTTAAAAGTTTTCACCTACTATGGTTGTATTTTACAAGACAGCACTAAACATAAGTTTTAATTTTTTACTTTATTTAACTGCTAAATTTGAGCACCAGTGGTGAGAAAAAAAAAGTATGGGATCTGTGTGGCCAACCATTTAAAAAGTTTGCCTACATCATGAGGATTCTAAAACAGTAGCATACCATGTACTTAATGTCATTACTTACTGAGCTATAGCCGTTAATGTGTAAAAGTAAGCATTTCATTAAAAAATTACAAAATTATTGGCGGATAGTTTTTTTTTTAACATTGCATGTATTTATTAGGTAAGTACATCTGTCGCCCTTGAAAATTTTACTTTACTACCTGCTCGCCTTCTTTGGACAAATTCTAAATTGTGTGAGCGAGACAAACAGTGAAACTTGACATACTGCGTGGGGCATCAGGTGGTATTCCGGTGATCAAGTCTGCAGGCAGCCGTAATTCTCTCCCAAAGTTTGCGAAAGCTGGCGTCACTGATGTACTTTCGTGAACAGCGCTTCGATATGACAACAAAAACGGTTGTATGTGCCTGTCCCAGTCTCGTTGCCGTTTTTCCACTACTTTTGCTAGGTACCTCTCCAATGTCTGATTAAATCGTTCTACCATTCCATCAGATTGTGGGTGGTAAGAAGTTGTTCTTGTTTTATGAGTACCCATAACTCGGCAAGTTTCCTGGAATATTTGAGACTCAAAATTCCTTCCTTGATCGCTGTGAATCTCTAAAGGTACTCCAAAACGACAGAAGACTTCATAAACTAGTTTATCTGCAACTGTTGAAACTTCTCGATTTGGAATGGCGAATACTTCTGGCCACTTGGTGAAGTAATCCATCACAACCATGAAATACTTGTTACCACTTTCACTTTCTGGAAACGGCCCCGCAACGTCAATGGCTATCCTCTCCCATGGTGCATCAACATTGTACAATTTCAATGCGCCTCTACTACAAGTTTGAGGTCCCTTTACAGCCGCACAACTTGTACATTTGCGGCACCAGTCCTCGACATCGTCACGACAGTGGACCCAGTAAAACCGTTCTCGGATCGTCAGTAGAGTTCGTTTAACTCCCAGGTGGCTTCCTGAACAACCATTACGACAGCCCCACAATAAAAAAACTTTATGTTTTTGGGGTTGCTGAATCCGAATCCGGGGTCCGTTTAACCCCATCACGTCAGGGTTAAGGGCATCTGAATGTCAAATTGCGGAATGACTATTAAAAAATCTGAAAAATTCGGGGTCGCTAAATCTGAATCTGGGGTTCTCTTGACCTTGAAGTGTCAGAATCAAGGTCAAATGAAGGTCAAAACCATAAAATTTGATGATATGATATTTTTGACCCTGGATTCCGAAAGAGCAGAAAATTTTACGTCCGAATATGTATTGACTTTTTTTTAGAACAGACCTTTGTAAGTCGCGTGATGGCCATCCAAAATCAAATCCATTTTCCAGCTTTTGGCTATAAATTGAGATCTTGGTTCTTTGATGAGTTGATGTTTTTCGGGTCGATCTCCTCTCTCGATGATAGAGGAAGTAATCGACACCACAGCCCTACTACCCCTGTAGTGGAAGATCGAAAAAAAGCGGCTGAAAAATCAAATATCCCATCCCTTATGCAAATTCCTGTCCAGGCACCAGAAAATCAATTACCAAACTCGCATTCTCAATGGAATATGCATGGTGGTTCTGAATCTGAGCCAGAAGCTAACACTGAAGATAGGGAAATGGTATATCAAGAACATGTCGGTCCTTGTCCTCCAGGCCCTGGATCTATGGTATCATGTCCAATGGAACCAAATCAAATGGGACTTGATCAAAAATGGGCTCTGGACCCATGGGTCCTGGACCTATGGATCCTGGGACCGATGGGTCCTGGACCAATAGGTCCTGGGCCGATGGATCCTGGGCCGATCGGTCCTGGACCGATTGGTCCTGAGCCGATAGGCCCTAGCTCTATGGTTCCTGGACCGATGGGACCTAGCCCAATGGGTGCACCATCGATGGGACCAAATATGGACGCCATGACATCTGGCTCTATGGCTTCAGGCTTAATGGGGCCAGGTTCCATGTGTTCTGGACAAAATATGGGTTCACGACCTAATCCTATGATGGGGCCCAATGGTCCAAATGTCTCCATTTCTAGGAGGACCACCTAATTTTCCTATGACACCTAATTTTTTGGCCCCAAATGGCCCTAGAGGACCATGTGGTCCTGGTATTTGGCCACCAAATATGTGTGGTCCTAATATGCACCCAGGACCAGGCCCTAGTGGTCCAATGCCTCCATTCTTTGGTCCTCCATTTCCTAATCCAGCAATGATGGGTCCTAATAGGCCACCTAATCCTATAATGCCCCCCCCCCCAACTCTATGAATAATAATGCTAATGTGCCTTTCATAGGTTCCCACAAATATAATCATATTGGTGACTTTTTGTCGCCTGAAGAATTGAAAAAATTTATGGAAAAGTACTCAGCAATTAAGAGTGGCAAAGAACCAGATCTGAGCGATTACAAAGAATTCAAATTGAAAGTGGACAATGTTGGTTTTAAAAATGCTGCAAAAGCTAGGACGGAACGAGGGTCAAGGACTCGGTGCCGAAGGATCTGGTATTGTAGAACCTATTAATAAAGCAAACCAGCCTGTCGCTAACTTAGGTCTGGGAGCGTCGTCGTCGGACATGGTGTCGTCAGAGGACGATGAGTTCGACGCCTACAGGAAACGCATGATGCTGGCGTACCGATTTAGACCAAACCCTTTGAACAACCCAAGGCGGCCTTATTATTGAAAAATGATGTTCAGTATATAGAAGATAGTTTTTATATTGACATTAATAGAATTTCTTTGCATTGGTAATTTAAATATAAATATTAACTATTCTTAACTATGTTCCTAAAGTTTATGAATATACGAGGGTGGATTGAAAAGTACTCGGCCTAACCAAGAAAATAAACAAATACTAAATCAGTTATATTTTTATTTTTCTACATAATCACCATCAAGTTCAATACACTTTTGCCACCTCCCCTTCCAAGCATTTAGACCGTTGAAAAAAAATGATTCTTCCTTAGAGTCAAAATATGCGTCTACAGCTGCTTTGACCTCGTCGTTTGTCGAAAATCTTTGACCTCCCAAGTGCTTTTTTAGGTTAGGGAACAGAAAGAAGTCTGATGGTGCCAGATCAGGTGAATACGGCGGATGCGGTAACAGTTCAAAGCCACAGTTGTGAATTTCAGCCATTGACTGTACTGACGTGTGAACACGGGCGTTATCTTGATGAAACAGGACTTTTCTTCTGAGCATTACTCGACGTTTTTCTTTTATTTCCTCTCGTAAACGACGTAGTAAGGTGCAGTAGTAATCAGAGTTTATATTCTGACCCCTTTCAAGATAATCAATCATAATCACACCTTTCGAGTCCCAGAATACTGAAGCCATCACCTTATTTGCCGACAAAATCGACTTAGCCTTTTTAGGGGGTGGTGAACCAGGTCTTCTCCACTGTTTTGATTGTTGTTTTATTTCCGGTGTACAGTAATGAACCCATGTTTCGTCCATAGTAACAAAACGATTCAAAAAATCATCTGCATCGGCTTCAAATAACTCCAAATAGTCGCGTGAAATAGTCAATCGCGTCCTTTTTTGTTCAACTGAAAGCAGTCGCGGAACCCACCTCGCAGACACCTTGTGGAAACCCAACTCGTTGACAATGATGTTTTGAGTTCGTTCATAAGAGATGCCTATAATCTCGGCTATCTCTCTAATTTTTATCTGCGGTCTCCCATTATTAAATCAAGTACTTTTTTAATATTTTCGTCAGTAGTTGACGTCGAAGGCCTTCCAGAGCGGGGTTCATCTTTCACACTCTCTCTACCACGCTTAAATTCTGCTATCCATTTTTTGACGGATGAATATGACAGAGCACAATCGCCTAATGTACTGACCATGTCATCATGGATGGCTTTTGATGATAGCCCCTTCTTATGGAGGTACTTAATGACGGCACGCTGCTCGATTTGCTCCATTCGCGGAAATTATGTCCGATTACTTTGTTAATAAATTTATAAAATCACAACTAATTATCGCACACGTTTCGAACTTCACACAATGAACTAGTCTGAACTGAACTAAATAATGTGGGTAGATTTGATTTTTAGAATTGAATGGATCTGTGTTAGGCAGAGTACTTTTCAATCCACCCTCGTGTTAATATTAAAATCATTATGGGAAGTAAACTTTTACTCTTTTGCATGTGTGGCGTTGTGTGACATGTGGGTCATAGAAATATGAGTAACCTTTTTAAAATGTTTGTCTGTCTGTTCAGGCTAATCCTTCAAATGGCTGAACTAATTGTGATGAAACTTCACAAACAGATAAAGAGGAATGTCGGGCAGGAGTGATCAAGCCTATATTTAAATCGAAAAGCTTGGAGTATTTTTTTTGTAAAATCGTTAATACGGTCGGTGATTTTAAATCTAAATGATGACATAAATGATATTAAGATACCACCCCAGGCGAAGTCGCGAAAGAAAGGCGAATCAGGCGTTACTTTGCGTAAATCCATTATATAAATGCTTTTAGAAAAATTTACTTCGCAAATATCCGCATTATAAAATAAAATGATGTGTCTTACCTAGTATGAAGAGCACCTCCCGCCCTCCAAGAGGGGTTTACGGCTGCGGCTGTATGTGCTGGAACAGTTAGAGATATTAAAAAGTAACAATAGTAGAGTTGCATTGCTGAATGAACAAACAAATGTTATTAACTCACCTCTCTTAAATATTTTTAAGCCTGCTCTCTAATAATAGAGAGCCTCGCAATATGGTCGTTTGTCACCCTCACGGTGTTCGGCGATTGGTTGCGTGGTTGGAGGGTGGGCGTTGCGCGGCGGTTTGTTTTTAATTTTACAAACGGTTGCGTAAGTCCGGCGGTGAATGGACGCATGTTTTATCACATGACACAGTCGCTTGCTCCTTAAGTAGAGAGCGGTTGCGTCATCGGTCTGTATAAAAGGCATTTGTTTTGGCTCGCCGCTCACTTAGCGGTTAGCCACCGTAGAGTCTATATCACCCGAGGATGCCTCGTGTAGAGGCGAAACACGTGTCGTACTATTGTCAGTGGTGTGTCTTGCCTAGTGTAGTGGTGTTGGGAGTAGCGGTGCTGGGATTAGTGGTGACGGGGATAGTGCACGCAATTGAGGGAGGGCGGGAGGTGCTCTTCATACTAGGTAAGACACATCATTTTATTTTATAACGCGGATATTTGCGAAGTAAATTTTTCTAAAAGCATTTATATAATGGATTTCCGCAAAGTAACGCCTGATTCTATTAATTATATTAAAAAGGCTAGCACGGCCGACCAGGCAAGACTCTATGTCAAATTAACAAAACTCCATCGTATTGCTGCCCAAAATGTTTGGTTCAATCAGCACTGCAAACAACTTCATGTTATTCCGAATTATATTCAAATACGTCCCGGCACAAATAGTCGAGCGGCCAGTATTGCTATTTCTAAAGCTCAGAACATTTGGCTTAATGAGGAGTGTCGTCGTTGGTTTTCCAATAGAGATAATTTAAAAATCCACCTTAAAGTATTATACTCTGAACTTTCATATAAATTACATAATATTGAATATGATATTTTGGATGGGAAAGCCAGAGAACTTGCTTCAATGGCTGTTTATGAGAAATATCAAATTCAGTCCCGTAAATTACAACGACTTGTATCCTCTTCATCCCGTAATCGTAATAACGACATACATACAGAATATCACCAATTTTATCCCCGAGTTAAAAATCTTTCCGATGTCCAGTTTCTAACAGATGAGTTGTCACTTTTACATAAAGCCCTAAAGTATAATTTAACACCTTCGGTCTCCCAAAAATCGTTAGAGACTATGGCTGTTGACGCGGAGATGGCTGTTGTGATCGGGAAGAAAGATGACATCGTTAAAAGTTTGGTAGCTAATGAAATTCGGGCTGTCTTCCCATTTCAATCCTGAGTTCCCTGTTTTTAAGTCCCTAAAGCAGAGAATAAGGGAAAACGACCTTATTGTTACTAAAGCCGATAAAGGCAACACTGTTGTTATTATGGAGAGTAGTGGGTACAGCCAGAAAGTTAACGATGTTATCCAAGGTGATGACTTTGAGCTATTGGAGTCTGACCCAACCAAAAAGTTTACTTCGGATATTAAGTTATGTATACAACAGTCATCATATGTTTTTCCCGATCACAACATGTTTCGGAGCAATCTTGTTCCAATGAATCCTCAAGCACCCATTTTATATGGGTTACCAAAAATACATAAAGAACATGTTCCTATTCGTCCAGTTGTCTCATATATTGGTGCACCAGCTTATTTCCTTGCAAAAAAATTAAACTTCCTCCTTCGAGAGAAATCTGGATTCAACCCCACTTACAGCCTAAAAAAATGGCTTAGATCTCATTTCCAAAATTAAAGATATTCGTATTCCTCCTAAATCCATATTGTTATCTTTAGACGTTGATAGTCTTTTCACAAATGTCCCATCCCCTGACTGTTTGCGTATACTCGCAGATCTCTTTGAAAAACGTCGTCTACATCCCGGGGAAACAAATGATCTTCTTAACTTAACCTATCTCTGTATGAAACAAAACTATTTCCGGTTTAATAACCGTACAAAAAGAAGGGTTAGCTATGGGGTCCCCTCTAAGTCCCCTTATGGCGGACATTTTCATGGATAATTTCGAAAAACAACATATAGTTGTCAATCAAAATATCTTATATTACTATCGATATGTAGACGACATAATTATTTGCTGGACTGGCACAAGGAGACAACTGGATGTTTTCCTCAATAAAATAAATAGAGTCCATGACAAAATTAAATTTAAACTTGAATTGGAACAAGATTGTTCCCTTAATTTTCTCGATTTAACAATAACAAGAAAAGAATCGTCACATGTTTTCCAAATTTATCGAAAGCCAACTCACACCGACACGGTCATCCCCGCGTCATCGTGTCATCCGTGGCAACATAAAGTAGCCGCTTTTTATTGTTACATTAACCGTTTGTTCACTGTCCCATTAAGTAAAGAAAATTATTTAAAAGAACTTAATATAATTTATCAAATAGCGGTCTCTAACGGTTTTTCAAAAAAATCTCATTAACAATTTAATTAAAAAGAAACAAAAGCATGTTGTTCGCAACTCTCTGTACGCGGTTCAACCTCAAAGTGTTCATCGATATGTGAGCAGTTTGACCTACTTAGGCCCCATATCTGAAAAAGTAGCTAATACTCTTCGACAAAACGGCGTTTATGTGGCGTTCAAAACAAACAATTGTCTTAGAAATATCTGTAATAATAAAGATAAGTAGGATATTCGTCAAAAGTCAGGTGTTTACAAACTTGTTTGTGACGAATGCCACGCCGTTTACGTGGGTCAGACTGGTCGCAATTTCGAGACACGTTATAAAGAGCATTTAGCCGTGTACAGGAATTGCAATCCCGATAAATCCCATTTTGCCAAACATCTTTTGGACACTGGACAAAACCTAGCCAACGACCACTCCTTTAAAGTCTTACATACGTGTAATAAAGGGCTGCGGCTGTGTGTGCTGGAACAGTTAGAGATATTAAAAAGTAACAATAGTAGAGTTTCATTGCTGAATGAACAAACAAATGTTACTAACTCACCTCTCTTAAATATGTTTAAGCCTGCTCTCTAATAATAGAGAGCCTCGCAATATGGTCGTTTGTCACCCTCACGGTGTTCGGCGATTGGTTGCGTGGTTGGAGGGTGGGCGT